GTAAAAATGTGGTTTAGGGTGATACAAGTGCTGATGAGCTAATTTAGCAAATAAATTTTCATATGTAATACCATTAGAGGTTAAATTATTTTCGAAAATATTTCCGAGGCCAAGAATATTTTGAAAATTATCGTAAGAAAATTTCACACCACGTTGCATTTAATTAAATAATGCCAGAATATATTTTTACCTTGACAGTATAATGTAGAAGGCTTTGAATGAGTTTAAATGTCAAATTTGAAAAAAAAAATAGAATTTGTAGACTTTACAGTTGTGCATTTATTAAATATGCGTCTAATAAAATATATATAATATTTGACTATTTTGTTTAATTTTTGTCCATTTGGCAGTCTGTATTTTGTAGACTTTTGAAATAAATATTGGTGGACAATAGAAAACAAGTTTTCTCTTTCTAAATCACTGCATTCTGCAACAAGGATCTCAAAAAAAAAAAATAGTACGACGATACATTTTAACACCGGCCAATTTTTTGCACAAAGTGTATACAACGTAATTTCCAAAAGGATCCCTTTAAAAACATAAATATTTAACAACTTTCGAAAACTAACACGCTCATTTTTGACGTTTTACGCTGGCAATATTTTCATGGCCTTCCACGTGACAACAATTATTATAACTCTTTGCCTAGTTTCATGGCTTTCCATGTTAATTATGGTATTTAATAATCATTACTGTATACAGAAAAAATGCTAGAATATAATTTTCTACCAACTGCAATAATTTAAACTCGACATGATATAAAAGAAAGAACTATGCTAAATCTTAAAATGATATATCTGTGCAACTACAGTTGGTAAAATAGAGAATTCATAGCTCAATAAAACTAATACTGGATACAACAAAGATTGTTAAATATAATTTTCTACCAATTGTAGTAATTTAAATTCGACATAATATGAAAGAAGAAACTATGCCAAATCTTAAAATGATATATCTGTGCAACTACAGTTGGTAAAATAAAGAATTTATAGCTCAATAAAACCAATCATCACTGGATACAACAGAAATTGCTAAAATATAATTTTCTACCAATTGTAGTAATTATTATATGATCATGTCAAAAAATGTCCACTATAATTCTCTCCGTGGTACTCCAGTACAAAAAAAAAAAATTCAAAAAAAATACCTGGGTTGCCATGGTCACTAGAGAAAACACATTTTATTGGTTAAAAACACATGAAATTTGCAACATTATTTTTAATTAGTGTTTTTACGGCGTAAATTTAAAAAATGCCTTCTGGTAAAAACATACAAATAATAAAAAGCTCCTTTGTATTCTAAATTTATACGAACAAATAAAAGACTTATGTAATATAAAAAATACGAAAATCTTAAGGTCAATTAGCTGTAAATGCTTTCAAAATTCACTACAATAAAGTTAATGAATGGTTTCTTTTCATTACCTTGTCTTGCAAGACTTCTGAGATAAGAAAACAACTACATTTGGGATAAATTACATTTGGTAATCATCATAAACTGGCAACAACTGCGAATACATTGAAATAATACATCAATAAATAAAAAATACACATTTTTCTTAACTACTTTTCTATAAAACCTGTAATGGAATCCGGTTCTGCTCGACTTTCGGGAGCGTGAAGTGTTATTTAATAAATACATGGGTTGTATTTAATTTTACTACACCTAGCAATAATAATTCGTTGACCTCCAAACAATACCATATGATTTTTTTTAAATAAACATTCCCAATAAAATAATTCACGCAGGATTACACACACTCAGAATGTGTCTAGAAGGTTTCTGATAAGATATTAATACATTTTACACCAAGGTTAGCAGGTCGCTAAAATTACTGTTCTTTCTATTATTTTAGTGCAAGAATCACGGATGTACTCACGCTTTCTAACCGTTCGATATTTTGATGGCTTTGAAATATACGGGGGCAGGTGAGTGAACATCAATTAACAATGAGTAGAAAATAAACCATTCGATTATTACATCGAGAACATAGTGTTTTTCATATTTAACAAAAACTTACATGTGGTTGACTGTCCACTTCCTTCATTTTTTTTTGAATCACTTTTGGAAGAAGTTACAGTACAACCATTTCCATATAATCAAGTTGTGCAAAACTATCTACTGGGGAACAGAGTGCACAGATTACGGGTACGGACATACCGAATCCAGTAAACACATATACGTTACAAAAACGTTTATAATGTCCAAACACCATTTGAAAAACGTGTCTTTTTTCCGCACAAACAACTTAAAAATGTCGCAGTTTTACACGTTTCAGATAACGAAATAATAAACGTTTAATATTAGTATATGTGAACGAATATGTCAGATATTTTAATATGTATTACTAATATACGTAACCCCAAAACCTTTTAAAAACGTTTCTGTTCGACCTCAAGGGCCTATTCAGTTGATATGGGCGTTTCATGAACGTGTAAGAGAAGTTTTATTTAAACGCTTTAAATAACGTTAATTTAACGTTGTCAAACGGACGGCCAACATTTTTCGTGAAAATATCATGTATTTTTAACGTTACGATAGACCGTCATTTTTCCAACAATAAATGAACGGTTGATTTTCTAACGTAACATGCATTCTCAACCAATAACACGTTGAGAATACGTTTTAAAAACGTGTGTTTACTGGGAAGTTGCCTCGCTCGCGGTGGAGGTCGTTAGCGCAGTCTCGGCCAAGGTCGACACAACAAAATTGTTTCTCCATCGCTGTAGAATAGAAGGCATCGTAGTAGCTTGCACCTGAGTGGTTCACTTAGATCACCTGACACCTTTCCAGTTACACGCCTCGTCGAACCTACTTAACCAACACGGAACATTGAGAGGACAAACCTCTCTGCTATGTCAACTCATCATCGAAATCCACCACGACAGAAACCGCGATCGCGACCTCCCCCGCGAGCATCTTCTTGTCAGCTCCTTAAAAATATGTTGGACAATTTCAGTATTGTGCCCCAAAACTGCTACATCACTGAGTAAGTCAAAGGAAGCACTAATGAATTTTAGATCTTGCATGAGGAAGTTCAAATTTTATTCAAAGAAGGCAAATAGTGCTGTCATAATTTTTTTGAGCAGCACGAATAACTTTTTCGCGCTCATTTACTATTTTAAGATTTATTCTTTAATGTAATTTTTTTAAGTACGTCGGAGCATATCCGCTACCAAAACCAGGAGATAAGCTTAAGAGTTCTTCTGTAAGCACTGGCAACCCTAACATGTAAATCATGCCATAACCCCACTTTGTCGTGGGGTAGAGATCTTTAACGTGCTCAGATCGCAGATACTTTTACATCCCTTTCGAAAAATAGTAACGCGAGCAAGTCTACTTATCCACTATACACGGGGTACACTTGATCTGGTCCGGTTTTGTACTCCGGCGGTCTTGGTGGAAGCACGCGCCACTATCCTTCACATCACTGAGTCCAATTAATTCAACATAGTCTAAATTGACGGAGTTGAAATCAGAGCCAAAGTTTCGTTCATAATGTAATATATCAATGTAATGTAATTATGGGATACCGATACTGATGGGATACCTTCTTTTGTCATCAGAGTTTTTGCTTATATTTTTGCTGCGCCTCTTACTAAAATATTTAATTTATCGTTAAAGTTCGGCCAATTTCCAGAAATATGGAAAAGTTTCCGCATTTGCCAGATTTACAAAAAAAATCAGAAGGGTTACAACAAAACTAGCGGCCCAATCTGCAACTTTGCTAAAACTTTCGAGTTTGCCTTACATGAGATACTATATGCTCATATTGAGAGGCAGATTACAACACATCAGTATAGTTTTGTACACGGTAAATCCACGATAAGTAAATATATTTCATGTAACGCAATTCATAGCGGAAAACTTAGATGTCAACATACAAGTCGACGTGATTTACACCGATTTTTCCAAATCTTTCGACAGACTTGATCACGGAATCCTACTTAGTAAACTTCGAATTGCAGGTTTCTCCCCTTTGTTATTAACAGATTTCAAAAGTTACGTAAGTAATAGAACGCCATACGTAGAATACTGTGGTTTCACGTCTGATGAAATTCATGCTAGCTTGGAAGTGCCTCAGGGCTCCATCCTGGGCCCCCTCTGTTCGTTTTATTTATTAACGATATAGTGAATGATTTGGACGTTGGCGTCTTACTGTATGCTGATGAGGCAAAGATTTTTACCTCCATAAAATCAGTAGCTGATTGTGAAAAGTTGCAAAATAAACTTTTTACAATTAAAAAATGGTGTGATCAAAATAACCTCCCACGTAATGTAGAAAAATGTAATGTTATATCGTATAACAGAATAAAAGATCCAATCCTCTATGAATTTAAATTGGATATTGCGCTGACCTGTCCCGAGTTTATCAAAGATCTCGATGTCACATTCGATGTCAAATTAACATTTAAAAGCCATATCGAGCAAATCGTACAGTCTTTGCATAGAAACCTGGATTTTGTTATAAGAAATACTAAAGGTTTTACAGATATTTCCGTATTTCTACTGTTTTTTAATACCTTCGTGAGGTCGGAATTGGAATATGCTTCTTTAATTTTGAATCCCGGTTATTTACTCTATGTAGACTCACTAGAAAATATTTTAAGGCGTTTTTTAAAATTTATATCGTATGTAATAGACGGAGTTGACTCTGAAGTAGGGATCCCACAGCAATTACTTCTCACAAGATTTGCTGTAGAAAGCCTCGAAACTCGTAGAAATAAACAGGCATTGCTATTTTTATTTAAATTAATACATAATGTGGTAATTTATCCACCTCCACTAGAAGAACTGTCCTTTTCTCTACCACGTATTGTCTAGACATGCCAACATCTATCTTGCCACAACTAGGACAAATCTCTTACAATTTTATCCCCTTTATTTTATTTGTAAAACTACCTGCAGAGCAGATATTTTATACACATATAAAAACAATAGAAAATTAAAAATTGTAAATGTTTGTCAATCATAATATGTGTACCTAATTATAATAATGTGGCTTCGTGGTCGGTCGAGTGGTAAGGACACTTGCCTCTTACCCTGGAGTCCCGGGTTTGATCCCCGGTCGAGATCTAGGATTCTTTCTAAAAAAAGAAATGATTCCTATATCATACTCGGATATTGGGTGTGTGTCCATTGTCTCTAAATGTGTAGCCCTCTCTCGCACAGGGTACCTTGAAGTGCCTACAGGGATACGGTTGTTGTTTGTTATACCTGTGGTTAAAAATGAAACGATATACAATGGATATGACGGCTCTATCTTACATAATTTTTTGTTTCAGGTGTCATAGATGTGAAATACAGATAAAAACTTTTTTCAACGTTTTATAAGCAGATAGCAGTAAAGTAAAAAAACATACAAAACATTTTCATTAACAGTGTTTGTCTGTTTGTAAACAATGTATTGTTTATATCTGATTGTGCTAGATTTCGATTCAAATCTACATTTTTTTATATAAACTCACTGGAGCTTTAGTCGAACGCACATGAACAAGATTTTGGGACAAAACAAACACTCATGAACACAGAAAAAATTGATATTTTTTTGTTTCTATATTTAAATTCTACAAGATACAAGGACATCATTTCTTCGCATAAACTTGTCGTCGAATCAGGAAAATTGGATTCTTCAGCGTGACTATGGAGAACTTCAAACATTTAAAACCAAAAACAAGAAGTAATTAGATATAACAACAATCACACATCTATTTATATCGGGTAAAGTTACTTAGCAAACGGTGTTTTTTATATTGATAGTTACTGATTGATTAATGTATTGTGATGATGAGATCATCACGATCTCACTGTCATTTCAAATAGTATTTTAACTAAATACACAAAAAACCTAGTTAATTTACATTATACTCTTTTGCCAAGGGGAACTAAATTTTACAGTTTTCGTCTGGTCCAGAACAATGTTTCTTAAAATGTTTTGAGTGGACTAAACAAACAGTAGATGAAGGGTGCTAATTTTGGACTATGGGGTAGGTAATTTAACCACTGTCCATATTAATTTGCCAACAAATTGCGAAGAAGCATTGTGTTTTGATTAAAAATAAGAGAAACTGTCAGTAGGCGAAAAAGACCTGTAAATTGTACATCAGCCAAATTGCAATAAGGAACTTGCACATTTTTTTTTTACTTCATAAAAATGTTCTACAATACTAAAAAATAAGATATGCAAAATATGACGCCTTAATTCCCAATAATAAATTTGTTATAAATTATTAAAGTTTCGCGCGCGAGCGAACCGTTTCAAACAGGTTCAAAAGCGCGGGAGTAGTCGTGACATCACACCATACCACGACGAAGATCCCAGCACTCGACTGCTTGAATTCAGCCGTAAAAAATACCAGCATCGCCATAAATTTTAAGTGTATAGGTACTTAAAATGGAAACAAAAACTCCTTATTTTAAATATTGCATTGTACCGTTGTGTAAGAGTACTACAGTAAAAGTGCCAGATAAAATATTTATAATATTGCCAGAAGATAAGATTCGTCGATCAAAATGGCTAAAAGCGTGTAGAAGAAATGAAAAAGACATTTCACAGAGCAGTAGGTCTCTACATGTGTGTGAAGATCATTTTAATGTAAGTACATTATTAAATACTATATGTCTATCTACTAGTTTTTCGCAGGCGGGTAATAAAATATTCCGAATTCCGAATTATTGAACTTTAATTAGGGTTGGATTAAAGAAAGAATGTGTATACAATGTTAGAAAATAAGATTAGTAGATAGAATGTAATTTAGTGATACTAAGTAAAGGTAATTTCCTGGTGCGAAAGTAAACAGTTATTTATTATTATACTCTTCGCAAATACGATTACGAAGAGTATATTGCATTTGATCGGGACATTTCTAAAATCGTTAATATCGCTCGCAGAGAAAAAATCATTTCGTTCGTCATCGAATTCTAAACAACTTTCAAAATGTCCGTCTGTTCATCAGTCCGTCCGTCTGTCTGTCCGTCACGTTTCTTGTAAGCACGATAACTAAAGAAAAAAAAGTCCGTTCGAATTGAAATTTGGGCTATAAGTTAGTGTTAGCTAGAGGAAGAAATCCATTGTTTTTGAAAAAAAATCAAATAGTAAATAAAAAAAGTTATAGGACATTTTTTTAAAAATATGAATCTACAGAGGGTTGCAATTTTCAATGTGCTACTAAAATTGAAGTAATTTTCTAAAGACACCAAAATGCTGTAAAATATACTACCATAAATTTCGCCTACGCAGTCGGCATCATCGGGAGATGAAAAAAAAATTGAAAATTAAATATGTGATAAATATATTAGGTATTGTAAGAATGAATCTTAGTTTATACTATAAAATATACTGCCACGCGTTTCGCCAGCACAGTCGGCACCATCGGGAGAGAAAATTAAATATGTAGTCAATACATTAGGTATTGTAAGAATGAAGTTTATAAGACAAACACAAGATTCTTTTCAAAAAACTGCGAAGAGTATCCTACAGAATGTGCAACAATTATATAAAACTTCAATAACACTACTGTCTGCGAAGAATAAAATGTTTACCTCTAGTATATATAGTATATTGCAAATACCTTTCCCTTGTCCTTTAATTTATTTTATTCAAATCTTACATTTATCTATTATGTGAATGATAACACGACACAATCACTTATTTCCCTTGCCCCAAAACATAGTACGAAAATACCTACGATAGGTAATTATACATTTGCGCAACATTTCCTTTGCAGCAAATGTCTTCTATAGAGACACTTTACGCGTGTGTACAAAAAAAAAAACACGAAAAATACAGAAGTGGCTGTTGTAAAGAATTACCCTAAATTCTTTCAAACATAAGACTAAGTCTGCGAAAAATGCTTAGTTGCGACTAAGCATTTTGTAGTTATTTCTTTTTACTCCGTGATCAAGTCATAACTATTTTATGTTTATAAATTATTACTAAAAGCTAAAAAAAATACATACTTCTCTGCCTTGACCCCGCGGACCTCTCCAAGGGAAAAACTTTCACTATTTTGTATAAAAGATGCCACCATAAACATATCCACTTTAGGCAAATTATCAGATTGGCCCTTTGAAAAGCCTTGATCAGTCATTTTAAAATATCTGTACAACTACAATAAGCGGTACTATAAAACACAATTATATATTTATATCAGAACAGTCACTAACAAATCAACCACAGTCTTATAACACCGGTAAACATCTGATTGTATTGCTTCCCGGCGCGACGACTACCGAATATGGTATGGTGTGACGTCACAGTCAATAGTAGCTCGTTTCGGGCCACTTCAATTTTATCGCTGTTTAGATCCTTTATACTGATCGCGTGGAATTAGAAAACTTATTTTTTTGTGAAGTACACGTTTTATTACAACGTTACGCTATGTTTTTTAGTATTATTTTTATTTTTAAAATTATAGGCAAGTTCCCTATTAATCATGTAGAAAAAAAAATCGAAAATTGATATCTATAATAGTTTCTGAAACGTTACGGAAATTTTACATTAGTATTTTTCTTCTCGCTCTAATATAGCATTTTTTGTATTTTAGTGGTTACTGTTAATATTTCAAATTTACTTACTCTATCTACTAAAGTGAATTGTCCTCTACTACCGCTTTTTATTATTATTATTATTATTATTCTTTTTTACTTCCAGTGCCCGGTAATAATGCTTTGTAAAGTTATAGCTGCACCTATTAAAACATTTATTGCATTTTAAATGCCTTATTGGTGAAGATAAATATTAATTATTACTATTTACTGACTTTTCCTGTTTTTATGGCATATGCGAATAAATAATATTTTGTTTGTATAAATTAAACTGAAATTGGAAAACGTATTTGTTATTTATTTATTTGACCTTATATTGCGTCAGCGTATCATACCGATATTTTGTTAAATAGCGATTGCTGACTTTACTTTCAATGACGAGTAAGTACTTGGGAATATGTACAGGGTGATCAGCTGAAAATTCTACTTTTTAAACCCATTTCTTATTCTTAAACACATAGCCAGAAAATATTCACATTTCAAAACAAGAGAAAAACAGAAATTTATACAACATAATAAAGAGAATCTTATTTAATTTTAAAATATTGATACGTAACCTAGTTTTATCGGAAAACGTATGACAAAGACCAAAAAAAAGTTACATTTTTACACTAGCCAAATTTGGGGGATGTCACATTATATTTTCCTTACAACTCGTGAATAAATATTAAATGAACTGAAAAATTGTAACGATTTGTATGGATTTTAGTTATTTTTAGTTTTTTTTTATTTATTTGGTTTTGTATGGATAGAGTAGTATATTTTATTTTCTTATATAAATGTTAAATACACTGAAAAATTTTAATATACAAGTATACATTTTTTTTTACTGCAATTTGAATATTTTTTTTATAAAAATTCGAAAACCAGTTTAACTAGTTTTTTTTAACTCCGGTTTTTCAAAAGTCGGTTTTTGTATAAACCCTATTAGTAGTATTTTAAAATTTTATAATATTGCAATCTGAGAAAACAGAAATATTTTTTCTTAAACAATGTACCTACTATGACTATTTTTAGTTATTGTAGTCAAAACTGGCTTGTACGAAAATTCCATAAAACAAAATTTTATATGCAAGTATTTCCTTTTTAAACTCGTCATATATTTATAGATTTGCCGTTTTTATTAGCTGTTATATAAAAATCGCCTTTACCTTGAATAAATAATTAACACTACGTTGAATGTCACCTCAGTTTCCTTTGCTTGGGTAGCTTGGTATCTTACCAATGACAAAATTTGCAAAAGTATAGTTACGTTCAAAAGATGACATAATTTTCACTACAAACCCCACGAAAAAAAAACAACGTGAATCTTGAAGGTCTTGTAAATAATCCAAGGTAATTGAATTACGTTTTTTTTGCTTTATTTTAGATAAACAACAGTCGGTATTAGTTTACTATACGAGGAAATAAAGAATTGAATTAATTAGGAATTGGAATATATAGCTAAGAATTTTTAAATAGAAATAGTCACATTTCAGAATTTCAGAATTTGATATACTTCAAACTTTACTCGTTTTTATTCAGACTCTA